CGCCGTCCCCTGCCCCACACACGCACCTCACTCCTTTGCCTCCTCCCGGCGTCTCCCAGCGCTGGCACCCTGCTCCTGCTGCCTCCCCCAGCTCCGCTCCTGGACGTCAACATGCAGGGACCAAACGTTACAAACGCCTGCAGCTGCTGTCCCCAAAAATACCCTCTGATGACACTGGGGGCTGATAAGACTGAGCCTGCTCCATTCAGTGCCTTGCCCAGGAAGGGCTGGCCTATGTATAGCGCCCCAGCAGGAGAGCGGCCACCCGGAGCCTGAGGCAGTCCTTGACCTCCAGGACTCCAGGACGTGCAGCAGACTCGGTGGTGCCATGGTGTGGGGTCACCCTGTGGCACGAGGAACCGCTATGTGGGACCCAGGCCAGACAGCAATGGACTTGCTGCCACACAGGACATGCTGCCTGGGACGCACAGCGTGGGAGGGATGTGCCACATGGGATGCCCTGCACGGGGTGCCAAGCTGCAATGGGATGGGGCAGGGCGCATGGGACCCACCGTGTGGGACAGGCTGCTGTGGGATGGGACATGCCCTGTGGGCTGCACTGCACTGGACGCCAGGCTGCAGTGGGATGGGACATTCCACGTGGGATGCACCGCATAGGACACAGGGCTGCTGCAGGGTGGGCTGGCACAGAGGCTGCAGACACGCAGGACCCCTGGCATTCCCTGCAGGCAGCGCAGGAAGACCCAGGGCAGGATGCGCTGAGTCCATTTGCAGCCACCTCCCACCAGCAGCTCCAGCCCCTAGGAGCAGGTCTGCAGCCGGGCAGCCCAAGGGCACCATGAGCTTCGTCCTCCGGTGCCATGCAGGGTCTCCAGGTCCTGCCTCACCTCCTCCTCCTACACCTCCACCCTGGGCTGGCCCAGCCCTTCCCTGGCCACTGCCTGCCCCAGGCTGTCTGGGACCCTCTTGCCATCCCTCCCGTCTGCATGGCAGGACCTTGCCAGCTATCTCCTGCCCACCACAGGGCTGCCCTGGAGATGCCACAGCTGCCCTCTCCCCAGGCCATGCTCCCCCAGGCTCCCTCCACAGATCTCTGCTCCACTGTGGCCTCCGGATGTCCCAGACATCTCCAGCATCAGGATGGCTAGCCTGCTACCCTCTATGTCCTTCCTCACCCAGGGCCTTGCAGGGCTCTGGAACACACCAGGTGTCTGCCCAGGTGTCACCACTGGGAACAGCCACATCTCCCTGTCTCCCCAGAAGCCCCAAACCCATAGCTGCCCCATTCTGCTCCAACGTGGGGTTACCCTGCACTGGCAGCTGCCACCCTTCCCCCAGGCTGCCCCTCCATTCACGCTAGGGCATCAGGGCAGCACCCTGCCCGTGGCCCAGCCTCCCCCGGCACATGCACCCGCTGCCCCCGGCAGCATCGCCCCCCTCCCCGGGCACCTTCCCCCCCCAGACCACACTGTCCTTGCAGTCCTCGCATTCCAGACGTCTCAGCGCTTTTGCTGCCCAGAGATAATATTCACAGCGAGCAGACGTTTGCGTCAGTGTCAGATACGTCTCAATGCCACCGTGGCCCAGGCGGAGCGCCGTGGGCAGAAGGGCTGGGCTCGCAGGCAAGCGCCCACGGCAGAGCCCCCCGAGGGGCCGGCCCAGCGTGCGCCCCCCGGCCA